CGTGCGGCATGGCCCCGCCGGTGTGGGTGTGCTGGGTGCGCGGTCACCCCGGGTGCACACCTCGCCCAGATGTGCTCTCGCCCAGATGTGCGTGCTCACCAGGGCATGCACATCCCCGGCTATGCCGTCAGCCAGTTGTGCACCCCCAGCAAGGGATGAACCCCCTGCTGTGTGCGCGCTCGCGCGGCTGTGCGCTCACCCAGATGTGGTCTCCCCCAGACGTGTGTGCTCATCCAGATGTGTGCTCACCCGGCGCACTCTTGCCCAGCTGTGTGCCCTCACCCAGCTGTGCCCACCCACCACCCCTGTGCTCACCTGTATGTGCGCACTCCCCCGCTGCACCCTTGTCCAGCTGTGCGCTCACCCAGCTGTGTCCTAGCCTGCCCGGCCCGCTCCCGCCGGGGGGCGCGGGGGGGCCCTCTGCCGGGGGGCCCCCCCCCCCCCGCCTGCCCCGGGATCAGCGCGATCCCCCTCGGGCAGCACGATCCTCGCGGCGTTCCTCAGCCTGTTCTCAACTGGCTTCCCCGTCGTCGTGACTGAAGGAGGCAATAATTAATGCTGTTGCTCGTCAGGTGCTACGGCAGTGCCCGTGTCGCAGGGAAGGGCCTCCCGGCGGCACCGTGCCCGGCGGTACAGCCAGAGGGTCCTTCTTCTGCCGCGCGGGCACCTCTCTGCCTCGTGGCTTCGGTGTTTGGGCAGGAAAACAGCTCCGCTCCTTTTATTTTGCTTTTGGGAAGGGCTCTGGCTGATGGGCGCTGCTGCCTTGGTGCTGCTGGGGCTCTGGAGCCGGCGGTGCCCGGCTCTGCCTGCCCCGGGGCAGCTCTGCGTGGTGCCCTGCCTGCATCGTTCCTGCCAGCCAGAGCCAGCCCTGCCCAGCCTCACCCTCCTCCTCCTCCTCCTCTTCCTCCTCCGCAGTTCGACGCTGAATTTCGCCGCTTCGCCATGAAGCGCTCCGTCGCGGGCAGCTTCCAGGACTTCTACCGCCTGCTGCAGACGGTGCACCAGATCCCGCGGGTGGACGTGCTCCTGGGCTACACGGACATCCACGGCGACCTCCTGCCCATCAACAATGATGACAACTACCACAAAGCCCTGTCCTCTGCCAACCCCCTCCTCAGGGTCATCATCCAGAAGAAGGGTAAGTGGGAGCAGAGAAGGGCACTGGATCCGGAGAAAGGCGCCGGATCTGTCTTCCCCGTCAAGGGAGATGAGCCACATCCCGTGGCACCACTGGTTCCACGTTTGGGCTGTGCCAGCGGCGGTGGCGGCTCACGTACCTGCCAGCCACCACTATGGTGGACAGATCCAGAGGTGGCAGCACCGGGAAGCTCCCAGAGCCCCGTCGGGGACGTGGCAGCCACGCAGGTTCTCCCCGGCAGCCCTTCCCCGTGGCAAAGGCACCCACACCAGCCCAGCCCCGCGTGCCCTGGCGAGCAAAGGCAAATCCTTGCGATTCACCCCTTTGAAGTCACGTTTTCCAGCAGGACTTGCGTGGGCTCCTGGAAAACAACGCGTTGCTCCCATGAGCACCGCGCCGGGAGCCCTGTCCGGCTCCCTGCCCCGAGGTGGCGGACATCATTTTGGCAGAGCTGTCACGGTGCCGGGTGCTGCTGAGTTTTTGGTGGTGGGAGGAGGCTTGTCTCCTCCCCGTCTGCCCAGGACTCACCCTGACCGCAGCGGTGTGTTCCCAGAGGGCAGCTTCCTCGCACAGGAGCGCGAAATTGCCATGATAGCAGCGTCCCGGCAAGGATGAAAGCCTCCCGGTGATAAAAGCCCCGGGTACGTCTCCCTCTTTGCCAGGAGATGGAGACGAGCCTGTCCCCTTCCACTTGGTTTAGTAGCACCGAGGCTTTCTCTTTAGTAGCACCATCAAGCAACAGTGCCCAAAGCCAGAGCCTGATCTAAAAGCCCCAGTTTCCCCGGCACGGCACCCAGAGCGACTCCGTGTTTCCAGCTTAAGTTAGTGGTATGAAGCCCCTGGGTGACGGGTGATGCCAGTGTCCGGCCCCGGCTGCTGTGCCGGTTTTCCTGGGCTCTTGCATCGGGGTGGTGCGGGACACTCTGGACATGCATTTTTCTCTGGGGCCGCATGGTGTGGGGGCCGGCAGGAGGGAGCCGGAGCCCGTGGTGTGCTCAGGGGCTGTCGCTGCCGGCACCGAACCATGCCCTGTTCCTGGACCAACGCCTGGACCCAGGCTGTGGCACGGGGAGCTGGTGCGGGGCTGGGCGTGCCAGGGCTGCTGTGGGAACATTGCTCCTGCTCCCAGAGCCACCTCGTCTGCTGCTGGGAAAAGCCTGCAAGGGCCCATGGGTGACTGTGCCAAGCTGGCACGGTGTGGAGAACGGGCAGCCACAGCCCTGGCACCGATAAGGAGGGTGAGGAGGCAGTGCCGGCAAGCCCCAGCACCCGGCCGTGCCTGCGGGAGAGGGGCTGCGGGGCCGGCAGCACCGCAGGAGGTGGCAGAGAGGCCAGGAGCAAGCCCTGGGTGAGTCACAGCTGATTTAAAATGGATCCAGGTCATCCCAGGGCTGGGCTGTCGTCGAACCAGTCCGGGTCGGCGAGGAATGCGGCTGCAGAGCCTCTCTCGCATGCCGGGCGCGGGGAGCCATGCACACACGTAGGTGTGACCCGTCGGTGGGCTCTGCGGCAGCCAGTCCTGCTGCAGGGGGTCAAAAAGCAAAGGCCGCAGCTTGGTTCCTCTCCATGCTGTCACCCCATCAGGTGAAGCCGTTCCCGCGGGGCAGCCCGGCCAGGGACAGCGGCGCTGGCCCCCCTTAGCCGGGCTTGGCTCACGGGAAGGGCAGGACATCGCACGTGAAGCCCAGCACATCACCAGGGCCACTGGTGGGCTCGTCCATGGGGTGCTGGACCTGCCTGGCCCAGCTGCTCTGTGCCCCTTGGAGAGGAGCTGCGCGCTGAAATAGCTGTGGGAAAGCCTCCGCCGCCCTTCCCCGAGCTAAAAATACACCAGGCTGTGTGTGCAGGGAGATATTTATAACCCAGGAGCCCTGGCAGGCTGGCTTGGCTAGGGAGAAACCCTGCGTCCCCTGGGCTTGGGGGCATCCCCAGTGCCCCTGTGGCTGGAGCAGGGTCCGGGTGCTGGTGGGGGGCACCGTGGGGAACGTGCCGGTAATGCAGCATCCAGATCTGGGCTCCCCCGGGGAAAGGGATGAGGAGAAACCAGAGAGGGCCCAGCGGATGCTCCCCAGCACCTGGTGGATGCAATCAAGGAGGGAACGTGGCGGAGCTGGGCCCCACAGAGCGGCCCCAGGACAGGGTCAAGGAGGATGGAGTCAAACCCTGTGTGTGGTGCCAGATGGTGGAATAAGAGACAGTGGCACAAATCAGAGTTTGGGATGTTCAGGGCCCCGGGGACACTGCAGCCCTGGGATGGGTCTCCAGGGGGTGGGGAGTCTCTGTCCTTGGGGATGGCAGGGCTCTGCAGGACACAGCTGCGGCCATCCCCATCCCATGCCAGCGATGGCCCTGCTCCAGCAGGGACAAGGACTCTGGTGCTGTCTCATGGGGCTGGACTCACTCTCGGGGAGCTCGGGGAGCTGGCTACCACCGCAACACCCCCTCCTGCGGGGGGGGGGGGGGGGGGGGGGGGGGGGGGGGGGGGGGGGGGGGGGGGGGGGGGGGGGGGGGGGGGGGGGGGGGGGGGGGGGGGGGGGGGGGGGGGGGGGGGGGGGGGGGGGGGGGGGGGGGGGGGGGTGTCCCTCTTCCCAGATCCAAACTGGGACACAGCCATGGCTCCCGGGCCATCAGGGCTGGCAGCTCTAGTGTTAAGCTGCAGAGTTTGGCTTAAAGTGTGATTAAGGCTGAATCACCACCTCGATCCCACTAATCCTGGCCTCATGTACGCTGGGTAATCCCAGGAGATGGGCCCAGCGGAGACAGGCTGCAGGAAAAGCCGGGGTGATGCTCCAGGGAGGAAAAGCCAGTGAGACCAGTGAGCAGGGCACTTCTCCCGCCGGCTCCCCTAACAGCTGGGGCCAAGGGCACGCGGTTGCATCCCCGGGTGGCTGCAGTGCCTGACCTGTGTCCTCTCTTGCTCCCTACAGCAGAGTCCGATGCCGGCGTCTTCGCCTCAAACTCCTTGCAGCGGAAGAAGAAGGGGCTGCTGCGCCCCACACACTACCGGGCAAAGCCTCACCTCCTCATCGGCATGCCCCAGGACTTCCGCCAGATCTCCTCCATCATTGACGTGGACATCCTGCCCGAGACCCACCGCCGCGTGCGGCTCCACAAGCACGGCTCCGACAAGCCGCTGGGCTTCTACATCCGCGACGGCGTCAGCGTGCGTGTGGCCCCGCAGGGAGTTGAGAAGGTGCCCGGCATCTTCATCTCCCGCCTGGTGAAGGGCGGCTTGGCCGAGAGCACGGGGCTGCTGGCAGTGAGCGACGAGATCCTGGAGGTCAATGGCATTGATGTGGCTGGCAAGTCCCTGGACCAGGTGACGGACATGATGGTGGCCAATAGCCACAACCTCATCATCACTGTCAAGCCGGCCAACCAGCGCAACAACGTCATCCGCAGCAGCAAGGCCTCGGGCAGCTCGGGCATGTCTACGGACAGCACCCCCAGCCAGCAGACCCCCAGCCCGGCCTCGCAGTACCTGAGCAACTACAGCACGGCTGAGAGCGACGAGGAGGGCGACCTGGTCATCGAGAGCGACAGCACGCCCCACTACCTCCCCGGGGGCTGCCCCAACGGGGGCCCTGCGGACGGACCCCTCCAGCGGAGCCTGTCCCCGCACAGCTCGCGGGGCTCCCTGCAGTCCTTCGGCAGCCATGATGGCAGCCCCGGCCGGGGGGGAG